TACAATATTGAATATGGAGTTTTTTTCTTAACATGAAATTTGTTTCTCACAATCAGATCTTTAGTAAATGATTGTTTGGAAAATGTTAGTTGTTTTTGTGCAATTTTGAGTGAAATATGAGCAATATTACAAACCATAATTTTCACAAAAACTTCTCCAGTTGTTTTCCTTAAAATTTTTGCTATGGATTTGCTAAGTGCAGTGAATAACATGACATAAACATTGATATATTTATTTAATTTTCCAATAATTACAAAAGTATTTTTTTTTAAATATCTCTCATTTCATTAGTACTTGCAAAACAGTTGTTTTTTTCACATATTGCATTTGTGAATTCAAGTGATTGAAATGATTTCTAATGGAATTCTTCAAAACCACAAAACAATTTTTTAAAATTAATTTTAATTAATTTTAAATTGTGCATTTTCAGGAACATTCGAAATTTTTTTTTAAGAAAATTACTCCAAATTTTTCAACGAAGATTTGCACATAAAACAGGTTGCACTTTCCTGTGGTATTATTAAAGTATTTCAATTCAACTGTTACGGAACTGAAGAATTTAGAAAATGTGAAAAGACATGTATAAAAGGTATTGTTGCTGGTGTAACGTATTAGCCAGCGTGCCTCATGGCATCTATTTGGGGACGCTTGGTAGAGGATTAGCCTAGCCACAGGAAGTAGGGTTTTTCCGTAAAGGGAAGAACGCGGAAACGGGAGACACAAGGCTTTGGGAGTATCCGGCCTATAGAAGCTTTTCACTGTTATAACAAGCGAGGGGGTGGCGTGACGTAGTAGGTCACGTGGGCCTCGCCTATATAACAGAGTGTACAGAGCCAGTGGGTGGGTTCTGGAGACAGTGGGAGAACCTCGTGCGTGTGCACAAAACTTGGCGCCACGACGGTGCATATGCGAGCCAGGCTCGCGAGGCTCGAGTCACTAGTTGACGAAGCCTACGGACTTTAGGTCCTTGGGTGACTGCGGTCACGGGGGAGCGATGCTGTGTGCGTGCTCCGAGGTGAAGAGTGGTTGAGTGCCACGATTCACGCCGATTCTCAATCGGATAAGATCGCTCCTGCGATCGAGGCAAACCAGTCGTTGGTGCGCCAGAACGGACTTTGTGTCCCAGCGTGACATCCGGTCACGGAAGCTAGGCTTTGTGCGCGCTTCTAAAGTAGGAGTGGCGAATACCACAATCAAAACCATCTTCAATCGGGTTAGGATCGCTCCCGCGATCAGGGGATAGTAGGTCTATCAGAGCTAGGGTGTAAGTAGATTATTAAGTGTATATATTTGTTTTGTTTTCTTGTTAATAAATATAGTTGTTTTATGAAAGCTCTGTGTCTGTGGTCGCTGTGAGTATCCATGACGTCACACTGGAAAGAGGGTGGGGAAAAACCCAAAAAGCTTGCCCACAGGAAACAGATTAGGAAACTAATTAGTATAAGGAAGTCATCCTGAAGAACCACCAGTTTTAGTTACGACTAATGAGTGACATACTGCATCTGTGAAAAGCAATATAATTTATTGTGAAAGTATTTGCATGCAAATCATTTAACACAGAAGTGGCCAACTTCCAAGGTCCACAACTAAAACTTTCAATATGGCTGTGGGTCTTATTTTTATGAGTCCAGCAATCCAAAACCTGATTTCCCCATGTTGATCTCGGCACTTTGTCCTGCTGCTCTGAAACAGGGGAAAAACGAATGGAACCATGATATCAAGCCATTCATGCATAATGCAGTGAAACACACTGGGGTGTTTTTGCATTTCTGAATTTAGTAGAAAAAAATTCTATATTTCAAATGCAAAAATCAAAAAATATACAAATGTCATGCAAAAATATTGTGCACCTAGCACATGTGCCCTACCAGGGTAGAACCTCCTTTAACATGAAAATTAGTTAAATTGAATGGGTGAAAACCAGAACAGTATAAGTGACATTTTATAAATTCTGAGAAAACTGTTTATTTAATTTAATATCACTGTAAAGTTCTTTATGTCATCATTAAAACCATGGGATTTCAGCTGTTCATTAAAACCAGGAAATTACATTGTCACTGAAATATAGTCTTATATAACACGTTTTTTCTCAGAATTTATACAATGTCACTTATACTGATCTGGTATTCACCCATTCCATTTAACTAATTTTTATGTTATAAAGGAGGGTCAACTTTGGTAGGGGACATGTGCTAGGCACACAATATTTTTACATGACATAGACTTACACTTTTAACTTATTACCTTTCACGAACCACAATGAATGGCACCACGGGCTGCCTCTTGAACAACCATAATCTAATACATCAAAGATAAAAATTACCTTGAATGGATGTAGTTCAAATTATTTCACCCTGGGAAACGTTAAAACATGTAATTTGGTTTGGCCATTTTTAGAAATGTTTAATTGAAGGCTTTACCTATAACATAGACCTAGGTGTCTTTTCTTCAAGAATTTTGTGTACTATGTCAACTGCTTCTTCTGCACATCCCCACGAAAGTGTTACCCCCGCTCCTCCATGGCCATAATTGTGAACAATCTGTAGCAGAAAAATATTACCAATCTGACTTTTGTGTTACAAAGTAATTAGTGAATAATGTTTTTCAAAATAAATTTACCTCTATTTCTTGTCCATTTGGTAGTTTACGAGATTCCCTTTCTAAACGAACCTGAAATCTACCAGGTCGTAATCCTACCCATTCCTTGACTATTTGTGCTCCTCTGAGTTGTGGTAAAACACTACAACAGCTTGAGTGAATGAATTGAGAATCTTTAGGATCTACTTTTAAATTCCAGTCATTTTGTTTTGTACCTCCTAATATCACTGTTTCATGACTGCAATGAAAATTTATGTTATGGCATTACATAGTGCATTTGTTTAGATTTTTCTTTCAATTTGTAACTATTTTTACTTGTGTGCAAATACATACTTTGGAATTATGTAGCATCCGTTGTTACTGTCATCCATGAAACAGTGAAACACATCCGGTGCTTTAACCTGATGCATAAATAAACAAGATTCCTAGTATTGTAATAAAACAACAGAAAGAACAGGTATAATAAATTTGAATAAAACTTTGAATGTTCTTACCCGCAATACTTGACCACGGATAGGATGCATATCTAAATCTGGCACAACAAATCTTGCTTGCAAACCAGTACAATTGACAACAACGCTATATCTGGAACTTGCTAATTCATTCAAAGAAGAGACTCGAGATAACTGCAAAATCCCTCCTCGTGTTTTGAACTCCTGAAGTAGCAGAGGCAGGTATTTTGTAGGCTCACAGGTGAATGAAATGTACCGGAACCCAAACCTATAAATTAAAATTAGGAAGTAAATATTGGCATTAAAAAAACTGCAATTCTTTTGTATTTCCCTACTAGCGGAAGTACTCCAAGGAATTTATTGATCACAGTCTACTTTTCTTTTAATCACAATTAAATCAGAAAGAAATGAATTCTATGAATTGTGTATCCTTGCCCTATGCTTCACAGCCCAAACCCTCCCTTTTCCTTTCCATTCTTCTTACATTGACCTGCCCATTTTATCCTACCATGTTGGTTACAATCACTGTTTTTACCACCATAAGGTGACCAGATGTCCCTTAATAACCGGGACGTCCCTGTCACATATTTTTTTGAAAGGAAAATGGAACACCAAAATGTCTTCTTTTTTGTGACAATGACTTCTGGGGATAAAGTGCTGTCAACAATTTTAAATTTATCATAATGTATTCTGTTGGATTTGCATTAGGTTATAAAAACGAAAGCTCGAGTAGATTATACTCTTATGTACCACACAAAACACAGACTATTGAAATCAAGAAGAGAGATTGTATATGCTTTATCGCTGTCAATATTGTTACTGAGAAATTCAATGATTCAAATCTTCTGCTTCTGTGAGTATCTTTGTGACTCAGCAAGCAATCTTAATTGAGGAATACAGGCCAACTTTGTGCAGCTTTGTGCATGCAATCAAAGTGCAAATGAAACAAATTGAATTCCTCTGAAGATTTCGTTATAAATAATGTATCACTTTTACAAAAGTAATTTCAACAAATAAATACTTAAAATAAATTTGAAATTGTTGTCTTATTTCCTTTTTATTTGTGATATTCATTTCCAAAAATATTTAAATAGTGTAGTTTACAGCAATGTGTAATGTTGCTTTTAGTTATGTGCACATAACCTGTTTTTTTAATCAATGAAATGTCATGAAGTGTCACAACGTTCCTTATTCTGTTTTTGGGATCTGGTCGCATAATATCACCATCGTTACTAGCATCTATAAATTGATGTGTTGTTTCCTCCTAGCAAACGTCCAGTAACAAATGTGGCCTACAATTACTCAAATGTAATAGTGCTATTGGAATGGATTAAAAGGCATTTAGTAGAAAAATTTAGAATCTTAAAAAATAATTAATGTTTGTCAGGCTGTATATGGTCTTTTATTTTAAAGAAAAAAGAAATTGCTTAATGATATCTGTTTTACATAAAAATACAATATGATTGCAATATATTATGCGTGTTGTATATATCAATACCAACATTTCAAAAAATAATTATTTCCCTCTTCAAGTTTAAATGTCTAAACAAATATATATAACATTTTAAATAATGGTCAGATTAAAACAGAAGAACTACATAATACTAATGTACACAAGTCACTATATGGAGCGCATCCTATGTCATTGAAATAAAACAAAATGATTGAGAATAAGAGGAATATTATGATTATCAAAAAGAAAAATAATGTTTATTTTAACAAAGCAGTAATATATAATGAATTAGTTTACATTTGTATTATATATTTTTTTTAAAAGACTTTATATTTTTGTAACAAGAAGTGTACTTCAGCTTCCTGGTCAATGACCCCCGTCTCGATCAGGTTTTTGTCCAGTTTTCCTGATCCATTGAGCAAATGCTGAGATGGCCCCTTGTTTTGCATCTGGACAAAAATGTAGCTTCACTATGCGCACGTTTCGTAGAACTCTCCTTTTGCTTGTAATGGTAAGAGTAGAGGTAAGGGCGAGTTGCTATTTTGTTAGAAATGCAGAAAAATCATACTTGCAAATTGTGTACTGATGCAAATAAGTTTTCTATAACTCAGAAACGAAAATGATTGTTTTTGAAATATTGCTAATCTGTAATTTTTAACATTTATTTTCATTTATTTACGTTAAAATTTTACTCATCTTTCAACTATTTGTAGTTAAAATGATGGGAAGGGATTCTGGAACTCAAGAAAACATCCGCAGATAATCTTTTACCCCCTTCGTCACATCAATTTTTACTTCTTCTTCTTCTTCTTCTACTTAATAGGGTAAATAGGGGAAAGGTGGTGAGAGTCATTACAAAATCAAGTAAGACAGAAAGAAATTGGAATCAACAGTTAGAGAAACATGTTAATTTTGAGAAAAATTACTCAGTAATCTATCATATGATGCCATACTGAGATCTCCAAAAGTTTTTATCAAGGTGTGTTCCATGTAGTGACATGTGTACATTGGTATTATGTAATTCTTCTGTTTTAATTTGACCATTGTTTAAAATATTATATTTATTTGTTTTGATATTTAAGCCTGAAGATGGAACTAATTTTTTTTTGAAACGTTGGTATTGATATTATACAACACATATAATACATTGCTATCATATTGTATTTTTATGTTAAACATTTATCCTTAAACAATTTTTTTTATTTTAAAGAGTGGCGAGAGTTGAAAAACTACTGACAGAAAAGAAAATAATAATTTCAAAAGTGTAATCTGATTTGATGTTCTCTTACCCTTATCAAAATATTTACAAAGAACAAAGAGTACACACTTAATTTTGCTTTAAGAGGTAGGGAAATTATTGTGAGGTAGGCATAGGGATAATTTTTATGAAATAGTAAGCACCCTAACATTTTTCTGGTTATGAAGGCCATGAGTGCAAAATTACTGAACTATTAAAATCTATTTAGCCATTCTAGCCCATCAAGTATACAGACAAAAATCATAACAATTGGTTTTTATATAATATAAATAAGCATGTGAAATTATAAAAAAGGTAGTTGTTTTGAAATTGCAGTCTCTCCAATTTTATTTATGTAGATTAAATGGATTTACCTAAAGTTATCTTTTTATAAGTTTGTAATAAATTATCATAAAAATTGAAATTTGATGAACTCATTGTGAATTTTTATACTACAGAGGTTTCTATACTTTCTATGTACTACAGTTTCAATAAAATTCAAAATATTTATTAATGTGATGAGGATTATTACTTTAGTTTCTGATGCAAAAACTGAATTACTTAAAATTCTGTAAATCCTATTGATAATTGAAATTATACTATTATTTGTAGTAAAAATTTGTTTTTATGAACAATCTGATGAAATTGAATACATCATTATGACTTACCTGTACTGTTTTCCAAATTGGGAACTGAATTGTGAGATTTCAGTTTTATTCATTTCCTTGAATCCCAAAACAACTTGTCTCCAGTCTGGTAATGATTGATTTGAGTCTTCAGATACATATATCACGGGTACCAGTGATACTCCTGCATCACCAGCCAAAGGACTTTTCCACAACTCACAGAAAATATCATAAGATCTTTTGGACCACCGTCTATAATCAAGTTTATTAGTATTATTATGAATTTATTGAATGAAGTATTATTAATTTATTAGTTTAGTATTAGTTAATTTATTAGTAGTATGAAATGTTTATCTATTGATACCCACATATTGAGCAATTCTTATAAACAACTATATAAACAACTTCTAGGTTTTCACTCATAAATCTTTCTTATGTTGGAAATAAGTTGTAGAGTAAATAATATTTAAGAAAATGAATAGTGAAAGGAGTAGTTTTATAAGTCACGGTACTGATTAAAATCACTTGTTAAATACAAGAAATAATAAGTATGGATTTCAGTAGAACCTAATTTAAAGTTAGCTTCATTTGATTCATTTTATAGAGTCCTGCCTTAAAAGAAATGATTATAATTAGCTATTTAAAGTAAAAAATTAATTAAAAACTATTGAAATATCAGACTACAGTACCATGATTTATAAAATTATGATAATGATATTAAACACTAACTAAACACAACAAATTTGTTTACCATTTGAAGCTCACCATGGAAATTATAGTATTTGATCACAAAATACTTTAACTTAAAACTATAATTTAAAATACATGTCTAAAATATTTTTCTCGCTAAACTTTGTAATTTTTGTTGTTTGTTGCAATAAAATAACTCTTATAGTTTTTTGATACAACTTTCACATTTTTTTAAAGGGGGGAGGGAGTGTTTCAGCATTGCCTCGAGCCAAAAATTGTCTAGCCAGTACTGATTAGTGTAGTCTTACTCACAAGACATTGTCAGATGGTGTGTCTCCAAGTAAATAAGGCTCCCAGAAACCTGCAGATCCATCTCCTGTAGTTTCTGGACTCAAGCGTTCTGTAATGAGTGTTACACTGACCCATGGCATCCTACGCTGCAAAGCTACAGCTGTAGTGAGGCCTAAAACCCCAGCTCCGATAACAGCTACCGTTGCCATATTGACAGATGATCACAATATAGGTATTCAAAAAGAAATTATTTCTCTGAAAGGTAGTATTCTCAGAAGAATCTGGAAAAAATGAACATCTCTTAAAGAATTTCAGACTTATTTCTCAAATTTATTTTCTATTTTTAAGGAACGGTGTGAAGCTGTGTGTTATTAAATGAAGCAACATAAATAAACATTAATTAAGTAACAATTTATTGCAATCTCTAGTTGAATTACAAAAATTAAAAACCTCGGTATTTGAAACGCTTGTTTATCAAAGAAACGATCATATACCTCAAAGACGTGGTTGAAAGAAAAAAAGCGATAATAATGGCGCCTATCTTTTTATAATAGGCCCCGCTTGTCAACCTATCGACTTTGGACCCCTCCCGGTGCTCGTAGAGATAATGGGATCATGAGCTCCACGTTATGGCATCGTATTATAAAGTGAATGTCCTTGAATTTCTATACTGTAAGCAATGTTATGGTATAAATGACTGAAATAAGGACTATACGATAAGCAGGAAACGGGGCGAGTAATTAAAAGCGAATGTTAGCTCAGCTGGGAGAATGGTCCACCATGACTGCGAGCTTGTCGTCGGTGATCGGCCAAAAGTCAGGAGAGAAGTATGTTCGCGCACGTGCAGTCTGTGCCAACGTCCGGCGATTCTTTATTTCATGCAGTTTAATGCGAACGCCTATTTAACACATTTATTACCACAACTGGCGGGGAAAAAATTATTTTCGAAATCGACTAAAACATTATTCAATATTCAAACTTCGCGCGCGATGCGCAGTTGGGACCTAGCGCAATGTGTTTATGGCGAGCTGCCTGTGTCCCATGGTACACAAAAGAACCGATAATGGACCGGTTTATTGTTCGAGGGTTCCGAGGAAAACGAGGGAATAACAAAACTTGACCAATGAATCTTTCAGTCAAGCGCGAAAGAGGTGCAGGCTGCAGGCTGCGAGTACATCGGACTTTATCTCGAAAAATGGTAATGAGAACACAATTTTTTTTTCTACAAGTGATCCCTTCTGTTGCTGGAAAGTAAAAAAATAGAAAAAATATTAATGAGTTTATATAATTTTTAATTAATATGTTAAATAAATCTCACATATTATTTCGTTATAATGTTTTTCTTTCAGAAAATTTAAATACGATAAAAAATTACATGAGCCCCAACCCACAGTACTTCCTACCTGAAATTTATACGTTTCGCCGGCCCTGTTACAAACTACATAACAATAATTTCAGATATAGGAATAGAAATAAAGCATCGAATGCTAGAACTTTACTAATAGCAACGAAAGTGTTAGGAAAATGTACACTTGAACCACACTGACATTTCCTACGTGCCTTAATGTGGATATTCGTAGAACAATAACATCATGTTTTAATATTACATCCTTCCTTTTACGGAACCCTAATTACGGGGGAGGGGGCGGAGAGGGGCACTAATAAATCCCTTTTAGCCCTTCTATTATATTGGAAAACTATTTTGAAATTCTCACCTTTTAGCAGCATAACCGGTGCCGGATTTACCTACAAGGAAAACAAGCAGTTGCTTGGAGGCTCCCATCCACGAGGGGCCCCGCACTTCGGAAAAATACGCTCAGCTGGAACTTGCAAGGCAATCTACCGTACACTTTAAAAAAATTAATACACGTGAGACTCTAATTAAATTACTTATTATGCCACATTATTATTATTATTATTATTATTATTATTATTTTATAAAAAATACCTTCGCCTAAATGGTAAGCGGTAACTAAGAGGTACATGACCTTAACGTTGGAGTTACCTCCGTGACCCTGAGAGCTATGCCGAAGGAAGCGTAGCTACTGGTGGGGCCTCCTTTGACGGACAGGTCGAACGAGAGGAGTCAATGACGTACTCCAGAAGAGGACCTCAACACCAGGAAGAGGGCTTCAGGAGGTAACTCCAGAAGAGGAATAGGCATAGAAAATCGCCAGGCTTGCGGAGATGGTGAAGAGGCCCTGTAGCTTAGGAGAGGCGGAGAAGGGCAGGCGAGGCTCTTCAGGCAGCGGGAAGCCAACTCGCTAAAAAATACACTCTTCCCTGCTTGGAAGTTGTGCGAAGGATGGTAAACCTCTCACCTAACAAGCAAATACATTCGCAAGCTTCAAAGAAGATGGCCGGAGATATGGAATGAAGGATGTATTAATGATTGCTGCTTGGAATGTGAGGGGTCTGTCAACAAAAGAACTAGAACTTGTTAGGGAACCAAAAGAGAAAGGGATAAATATAGCCATTATTTCAGAAAGAAATACGAAACTTAAAGGAACAAATGACCTGGAAAATTATGTAATGATTTATAGTGGGGTAGAAAAAAAAAGAAGAGCAGTAAGTGGAGTCGCAAATCTTATAGATAAAAAATGGGAAAACAAAATCTGAAATTGTATTTTTGTTATTATATTGATCGTACGATTAAAAATAGGAAGAGGGTATTTTACTATATTTGGTGTATATAAACAATACGCCCAACACCCATCTCAGTCATCATATTTTGTACAGCTCATTACAAATCGTTGAACATTAGATGCGAAAACTAAATATTTTCAAGCAAATATCAACAAAAATTGGGCAATTATAACATCTAAATCATGTCCCAACAATGAGATGCACCTCTCAGAATTACAGCTGCCGTCTTGCGAGATGGAAGGCCATTGTTGTAATGACATTGAATTCATCCTCCGTTTCAAAGCGGCCGGGCAAACTGCCAAAACCAACAATACGGGGTAATTCAGGTAAGGAGTTTGTCGGAATAATGGCAATAAATACAGCGAGTAAAATAGGGTGAATAGTCAAATTTAAATAAAAATTATTGCACATTTAAATTTAAATTTGACTTGTTTTGCCGCAACATTTACGATACCCACTTATTTCGTAAATGTTCCTCCTCATTTAAAATCAGGATCAAAAATTGAACCGATTATTTCACATAATTTAATTCATCACATACCCAGACGTTACAAAGATACAGTTAAACAAAAAAAGAATATGATGCGTCGATGAAAATAGGGTACAGTGGTATCAACTTAAGATATAACAGTAAATAACATCATTTAAATTAGAATTAAGCCCTGTTACTTGCTTTTAAAGGGGTGATTGCTTAAGATACGCAAGAGTATCTTACTTATTGGGAGAACCATTTTTATTTATTTATTTTTTTTACAAAAATGGTAGTATACGAGAAATTTAGGGGTGTCCAACTTGCAAGGTCACAAGGGCTACCACTAATACCTTCAATATGGTCGTGGGCCATATTTTCATTACTCGAGCGCTCCACACCTCACTTCCCCGTAATGTTGATCTCAGCACTTTGCTCTGAAACCAGTGAGGTGGAAGGGGGAATAAAACCACTCGTGATATCAGACCGTTCTACTCATAACGCGGTGAAACAAACAGGGATTATTTTGAATTTTTTATTAACTATAAAAATTCCTTAAACCTACACTTGACTTATTTTTACATTAAAGGGGGCGTTGACCCCGGCAGGGCGCGTGTGCTCGGCCACAACGTCCTCCCTGAGGGGGATGCAATTGACTTTCAAGTTTGACTAATAATTTTTCGCGGGCCAAAATAAATGGACGCCAGTTGGACAACCCTGATATAATTACTACACGTCGGATGTTCAGTAGAGTGCCTATTTTATTCTAATTAACACAAAAGTGTTTAGTAAATGTGCTTGGATTATGATAAAAGAAACAACTTAAAGTCGTTTTATTTTTCCTCTTTACACAGCTTATTTTGATGAAAAAGCCTTCTTGGACATATTTACGACATACTTATGTCGCCTTCTGTTAAAAATATAGGTTTACTTCATTTTCAGTTTTATTATACCCAGTAGTTATCTATCGGTTTCCAATCTCCATTTTCTTGCATAGACACAATATGCAATTTTGGTATGCATGACACACTTCATCTTCGAAGCTCAAACTTGTTTGTCTCGCACGTCTCCGCACAATAACAGTTAATTATTAAAACATCAAAAGGTGAGTGGGACTTCGGAGAGAGCTAGGCTCATATTCCGGATGCAAACCAAGCAGATTTACTATAAACTGTCAGCATAATCAAACCTTGGTACAATTGTGCAAGAAATTGTCTCGACAGTACAGGCAGTGTATAGGCGACTCTGGGTGGCAGCTCTCTAGTCACGTGCTATGCTACGTCATGTGACCTGCTCTGAAGCAATCCGCTTACCAGGATTTGTTTACTTCTCACAGCCAGGGTTCGATGTTGTGGCTTATCTGACTCGCACGCGATAGCGGAGATGATAAGATCCGGCTGCGACGAAGGTTATGAACACGATATCAAGATCAAGAAGTCATTGCCTGTCAATGTGTTAATGTTTTGAGATTTCATTTACCTGTCGTGTGCTTAGTAATGTGCGGCAACAGCGCATCGGTTTCAGGGTAGCTTATACGCTGCAGGTGCTGTAGTATTGGACCTACATACATATACATTACTTATTTATGAACCGAGAGGTAAAAGGATTGCCATCTGACCTCCTTTTGGAGGACTTGTTCTCCTGTCCTCCCTCCTTTTTTTAATTTACTTGGAATGTTCCCTTTTTCGTCCTGTTGAATTGAAAATAATACTGACATAATTTTAAAGTAATTTTCATTAAAGGGACTTCGCGTCTAAAATATCTACATTTTTATTCAAATAAATGGTCTGCATAATAGGCTATTAGGCTTATTGTGATTTAAAACTTATGTGTTTGATAATGAAGGTGAGGGTGGGGGAGCGAAGTTATCCAATCGGAAGCCTTCATTATTAATAATGCAAAGTTTCCTTTACCCTTATTAACAATGCTTTTTAACGACTATTAATGGTTTGGAATTTTTTAGTACATTGTCTGTACATCGTAGAGAATGAATATGTAAAATGTCCTCTTTTTATTGAAATTTCCTCCATCTTTAAGTAAAATGTTCTCCACTGGGAAATTTTTTTCTGGAAACCCAGGAAAAGTGACATTTTATTCGGCGACTAGGAAAGACACATGGTGAAAATCGTACGAGCAAAATAAAATCGTATGTATGTTATACACTTTTCCGACAACTTAACTGACTTTCATTTTATTTTAATCCAATTTTATTTCAATTAATTTTGAGTACTAATGAATGCTAGATGGAACGTTTAGCACGCTACGCTTTCTCTGAAGGAACCGCGTTTACTAGTGGCTGTCTAAAAACATATTTTATTTTTTCTAATATTTTATTACTATTTTCCGGGTCATTTCACTCTATGGATGAGGCTGTATGGTTCAAATAATATTGTCTACTTGAGAGCTAGCGACTAACTGGAGAGAGGTATCCCTTATCCAATCAGAAGCTTCAAATTCTGCTGACGTCACTGTAGAGTTGTCGATACTTATTAAG